CTAGACCATTCTTTTTCTGTAATTAAAGGACCATTAGCAATTACATCCCAAACATTCCTATCAATGGATTCAATAAAGATCTTCATCCTAATTTTTCAAAATGAATAATCTGTACCACAAAACAGTGGAGGTCTATTGATAGAAGCTCCCTCAGAAAAAGGTAATTTGTTTTCAGCCATTAAAGATTTGGACCGAAAGCCTTGAGTATTTTTCAAGACCCTTGCTCTTGATACCAATTGTTAGAAATGTAGGCTGAGATCAAGAGGGGGGATGAATTGATCTTTGAAAGATTTTCACAAATTACAGATTATCTATTTCAAAGATTAAGATTTCAGACCAGTTCTTGAATCACACACAATAAGCAATAAAAAATAAATGCAGTGACAGAATTGAAGGAGAGAAAGGTTTAGAAAGATACAACCAAGGTTTATACTGGTTCACCCAATCCCAGGGCTACATCCAGTTTCCAGCCAAATTCCAGCTGGGTTCCACTAGATTGAACGTTTTACAGATTACAACTTTAATCTCACACTCAATCTACCACAAGAACCACAATTCAAGTTCCTGCACCTAAACCTTCACCAAGAACCAAATTCCAGTTCTTGATCAACCCTGCAGCCAAATTCCAGCTACAGAAACCAGTGCCCACAATTCCAGGCACCCACAATACAGTAAAGAAAGTAAAGAAACAAAGAGAAGAAACTTAGAACGCTCAAACCAGATTTATGCAGCTCTACAGTATGTGTTTCTTCTCCAAAAGAATGCAATTTTGCCTCAAGAAAGAACTCCTATGAACTTCACAAAAACTAGCGCGATTCTCTCTTGAAAGTAGCACTTATGCTTGCTTGATTGATTGCTAAAAGATGTGTATTAAAAGGTTCAAGCAATTCTGTTTATATAGAAGATTTTCAAAACTGCTGGTTTATTTAATCTGTTAAAATAATCTTTTAATCTGTTAAAAGACTTGTTTTAATCTGTTAAAACTTCTTTTAATCTGTTAAAAAGTTCTTGATTATTTTCCAGATTTGTTTTAACTGATACGACACCGTTTATATCAATTAAAACTCTTTGTAAAAAATCTTCCAAACTGTTTTAATCGATTGTTTCGTCTTTCAATCGATTAAAATACTGCAAAACATTCTTATAAACTTTTCTAAGTGATTTTAACTGATAACAATATGTTTTAATCGATTAAAACACTTTGAAAAAAATGCATTTAGTTATTTTAATCGATTGAAACGCATTTTAATCGATTAAAATTATTCTGATCGATCAAAAACTCATTCTGATCGATCATAAACTCATTCTGATCGATCATAGCTGGATTACATCGATTAACAAATACTCAAAGTGGTTTTAATCGATTGTTTCGAAGTTATATCGATTAAAATACTACCAGAACACTTCCCTGAACATTTTAAGTGATTTTAATCGATTTTTTCGAAACTATATCAGTTAAAATACTGACAGTAGGTTTTCAAAACTCCTTCTAATGAAAACAATCGATTATTTCGAAAACATATCAGTTAAAAACATGTTACAAAAGTGTTAAGAACATTTTAGTTGATAAAGCTTGTATACTATTAGTTAAAATAGTTAATTAAAAACCTTTTAACAAAATACTTTGTTTTTAACCGTTTAAACGCTTTTTAGAGGCAATTGCAAAATCTTTTAAATGAAGAAACCTCATGCAGCAGAGAGATAAAAATGATTATACCTAAGCAGAGATGCAGACTCACTAATCCCACTACTCTTTTATCTAAGTGATCTTTGATTGTCACAAAGTAGTCTTTGACTTCATTTTTTACTTCATCAAATCAACAAGATCTTTGCCAAAGTAATTCAATAAGATCTTCATCACTTTCATTGATAATGAAAAAAAAATACAATATTTTTAAAATATGAATTCAATATGTGAGCATTGTAATTTGTAGAAATTTTAAGTATTTTATATATTTTTTTCATGACATTGATTATTTTTCAAAATTACATATATTCATGAAATATGAAAAAATTATCTTTTTCCTCTGTTAAAAGAGGTTTTTGGATCATATGTGAAGAAGAGATGAGAAAAGAGTGTTGAAAATATCTTAATAAGAAAAATAATAATTTTACTATGTATTTTAATATGCAAAATAAGATTATTTATTAAATTATATTACATGCTAAAGCATTTAGTAGGATATATAATAATATTACTGATATATAGCTTAGCTTGTATGAGAAAGTATAATTTCTCTGAAGGGCTTTGACTTTTTCTCATAGTAGGAATGATATGTGTTGTTTTGGCGTCTATCATAATATTTGCAGCGACTTCGAATTTGAATATGAAAGAAACTTGACTTAAGGACATTAAAAATGAATTTAGTTATGACTCTTTTTTTTTTATTGTATTGGATGTGTTTTTGAATAGTTTAATAATAATCCAAACTTGAGTTGTATTATTTTGACTGACATTTGTATTCTCAGCTATTAACTTAAGTTTTGTTGGTGGATGGAAAACAAGTGTTACTTTTCAAAGAGTTTGTTACTCATTATGCAACAATTATGGAGGGAAGCTGTTTGAGAAAATGTTTATAATGAGAAAGATAAGAATACTTTTCTTGGGTACTGTTTTTTACAGACAAATTTCTTAGTGGCAGGAGTTGTTTAGGCACCCACGTGAAGGAAAAAGGTGTTGGTGGAGCTGTTGGAGTGTTTGGAAAGGGAAGCAATTGAGAGGGAAGAGGTGGGAAAAGAGGCTATGGATTGTAACTTCAAGAGTTGTTTCTTTTAAATTTGTCTGCTTTTATGGTGCTTCTGTTAGAAAGACACCTATCACATGAATGCCAGGATTTTTCATCACTTGATTTGATTACAAAAGAAACTTGACAGTTACCACAATACCACATCATAAACAAACATTATAGTTCAAATATTTATGCTTTACCATTTTGATATGGTGTTAGAGTTGTTGTTAATGCAGGCATTTCCAAAGATGCTTTTAGGCCTAAAAACTATTAGTACTGCTGAGATTCGGAATAAATATTTAATATTTTTTTTGGTAAATTTTGATCTAGAGATAATAAATAATCTTATAATAATTATATTTTATTTTAAAAATCGGATTAAATGAATCGATTTTGGGTTGAATCCATCTCGAAATTAATTTATTTTTAAATAATTAAATTTTAATTAAATCAAGACAAATTAATATTAATAAATATTTAAGATTAAAATTTTTAATATAATTATTTTTTATAAAAAATATAATATGTATATATATATATATTTATATTAATTTTAAATAATATTTATTTTATTTTATTTTAATAATTATTTATTTTTCTTTTTTTAATATATTGTATATTTATAATTTTTATTTTAATTTACGATAATTATAAATGAAAAAATAATAATATTTATTATTTTTTTCATAAAATATATTATTATTATTATTATTAATAAATTTATTATATTATAAAATATTATTTTATTAAATTTATTTCTTTTAAGAAACAATTGATGTTGATAATAAGTCCTTACAATAGAATCTCTGCTGTGTTTTCAAACATATGGTTTCAGTCAATAGGTCTCGGATGTGTCCTTTAAACAAATACCTTCTCTCCGATGTTAGATTAACAAGCTAAAATAACTTTGGATTTCTTTTTTCACATTAACCATGAAATGGCTTAACATACCTTTACCTCCATTTTAGTTACTATTTACTAAAATGGCGTTTGGACCTAAAAGAAACTTATGTTAGAGACTATTAATTCTATTTTTTTGACTTAGTGGTAGATACTTTTTTATTGTATTTTATTTTATTTTCGATAAAAAAATTAATAAAACTAAACATAAGAATAAAATAAAAATTAGTTTAGTTTGATTTTAATTTAATATAAAATTTGAATTAAATAAATATTTTGAAAGTTTTGTTTTTATATTATCATTAACTTGTAAAGATTCTTTAAAAGAATTATAAAATATTTTTTTTAGGAATTGTAAATTTTTATATTTATTGTTATGTTCATAATTTTAAATTTCTCTTATATACCTCAAATTAGATAATTTTATAGCTAAAAATTATAATATAAATTTTTACTATGTTTTAATAAATATAAGTGTACATGTTAAATAAAATATAATAAAAAATTAAATTTAAACTCTAAAATATTATAAAAATCCTAAAATATAATAAAATTGTAACCTTCATGACAAGTTGGTTAAATATTAATTTAATCTAAAGATATAATTGATTTAATTTTGTATATTTAACCTAAAATTCAAATCAAATAATTCTTTTAAAGAAAGAATAAATCCAAAAAGTTTTAAAGAAAATTTGTCTTCATTCATGTTTTATTTTTTATTAGTTTACATCAATTTTCATATGTAATTTTAAATTAGTTTGATTTTGAACGTGCTTAAATAATGGTAAGTCATTAATTGTTTAAATTATATAAGATTGAAATAAAGAGAAATTTGATTTATATAAAATTTAGGATTTGTTTGTTTTTTTTTAATTTAAAAAAATATTTGATAATTAATTTTTGAAGAATTAAAAAAGTAATCTTATTTTTAAACTATTAAAAAAAGAAGATGATAATTTAAAGTCGAAGAAGAGCTAAGAAGGATGATAGAAAATAACTTCCAAAACTTTATAACAAAGTTCAGCAATGTAATCTAACTAATAAAAACAAAAATACTATTAATAGAAACATAAAACTAAAAATATAAAACAATTTTTTTTAATTTTTAGTTTTTAAAATCTAGAAGATAAAAAATAGTTATTCAACAGATTTTTTATTTTCTTTTTTTAATCAGAGGCAATATAAATTCCATTATATTTCTATTCAGTTATAAAATTCAGATGATCAAATACTCTGGTCATAATAGCAGCTATTTGAACCAGGAAATTATATAAAACAGATATTTGACAGCTTCGTACATCAATCCTTGGAACCAACAAAATTGATGTTTTTCTATCTTAGTTAAAACCTTCATAAAGATTATCCTTCCATTTAAATTTTCAAGTTTGTTTTCTCAATGGCTTTAGATGCCTTTAATGATTTTAACTCATCCAACAACTGCATCAAGTTGTTGTAAGAGGATCCACCCTCCTCTATAGTCTTCTTGGAAGCATTACCAAGTTTTCTTGCTCTATTCCTCATTTCTGAGTTCTCTTCTTTCCCAATCAACTGTACAATAGCCTTTGCAATCTCTTCCCTTCCCACCAATGCATCCTTGCCTGGGCTTGTCCAGAACTTGTTTTCTTTAGCTCCCACTGGGACACCAATTTTCAACACATCAACTAACAGCTTCTCATTGTAAAATTGCTCTGCAAACATTGGCCATGTGATCATTGGCAATCCAGCACTCACACTTTCAAGAATGGAATTCCAACCACAGTGAGTCACTATTCCTCCTATGGCAGGGTGGTCTAATATCAGAAGTTGTGGTGCCCAGTTCCATATGATATGACCCTTCTTGCTTTCTTTCATCTTCTCCTCAAACTCTTGAAGGAAAACGTCTCCACTCTCATTTTCATCCTTTTTTCGTAGAACCCAGATGAAACTACAGCCAGAATTTTCGAGCCCGTGAGCAATTTCAACAATCTGAGCATTAGAGAGCCTAGTGAGGCTTCCAAAACTTACATAAAGTACAGACTCATTTTGCTTAGAGTTGAGCCAATTTAGCCACGCTGAATCTTGCTCAAGATCCTCCTTGTTTCCCCTATTGGTTTTTTCTTCATCACTTTTGTTAGCCCAGGCTGAAACTGGTCCTACACTCCAACACTTGATCCCCTTTGTACTTCGATAAAGATGCTCATAATCACCTTCAAGTTCATGAAAACTGTTGCACAGTGTTCCATAGCTTCTGTTCTCTGATTCATATACTGCATTCATCAAATCTGCGAATTCATCCTTAGTCCTTACCCATTGTTCTAGCTGTAGGGTGGTCATCTCAATATTATGTGGAAGGCCAGGAATTGAGAACTTGTGTGTGGCAGACGCTAATCTCTCTTGAGGCTTATGCTTTCTGATAAAATGAGTGGCACAGCTTGCAAAGTGGCTTGCACTGTAAAAGTAAAGCCTTGGAATGCCTAGTTTTTCAGCTGATTCAACTGTCCAAGGATAAAGCACATCAGTTACAAGACAATCTGGTTGAAGATCCTGAAACAGAGGCTCAAATTGACCTTGGAGCATCGACATTCCATAAAAGATTTTACCAATCATTTCTGGGGAAGTGCCATCTTTGAGGTTTTCAGCCCCATCAGGGAGACCAACTTGGGCTGCAGGGAATGGAACCACTTTAGTTCTGATTTGGTATCCACAATTGAAGTCACTGTCTATGGCCTTTTGGAATGTCAAAGCATTAGCATGGGTAGTGATAATGGTAACACTAGCACCATATCTGGCAAAAAGCCTTGCTGTGTCTACCATGGGGTTCAAATGGCCAGGAGATAGATATGGTAGAAAAATTAAATGGAGTTGATGGACTTTCGATTCTGTATTCATGGCAAGTTGTGGTCAGAAAAACTACTCACTCTTCTCTTTACAAACACAAATCACAGCTTGTACCTCTCTTTCAATTTTCCTCATGCATTTTTCAAGTGGTAAGTGATATTCTTTTTGTATTGCCACCAGACTTAAAACAAGAACCATTCTCTTCTCTGTTAATTTTTAATTAGATCACTAGGCCCGTTCTTGTTTTCCCCGTTATTCTTGACATGTTTCTTTCATTAGCTTCTGCCTCAAAACGGTTAGTGTATCGCTTTATTCATTGTTAACTTGTTTTTTAGTAAGCCTTTTGAATTGTCTCCTCCTTTTGTTTTTGTTCGGATAGAAACGGTTGTAGTAGGTAAAGAAAGGTTTAAAACTAGACTAGCATATTTTAAGTTGAAAGGGTCAAACTTAAAAGTATGTCATTGTCTGCTTTTATGTATTGACGGCCAATAAACTTGGTTAAAATGATTATCAAACTACATAATCGGGGTAAAAAATTGGTGGATTTATCTTTAATCTCAAAATGCGAAAATAGGAAACAATACATACCTTCGACCATTATTATTGTCGAAGATCCAGGGTTTCAAACCCTCACTCTGTCACACTTGATGGTATAGTGTGTCATAAAAAAAAAAGGCAGATTTGACGATCCAAAACACAGCATATGTGGTATCTACAGTGTTGTGTGCATCACAAAGTTTAAAAAACGTGGGAAGTAAATGGCAAAAAAACTTAAGTGGATGAAAATGGACTGCATGTAATGTGAATTTAACTGCTATTTAGTGGGTTAGCACTTACTTTAGTGGGTAAGTTATTATACCCCACATCCCTATGAATCACTTACTAACATTTTTCCGACTTAGTCCATCTATTCCATTATTAATCAAAACAAGAAATCAAATATATGAATTATAGTGATAGTTCTTCTACTAATGAGTATTATCTTTCTTGTATCAAGATATATCATGTCTCTTATCAATGACTCTTAACTATGATAAATAAATCATATATTTAATTTGGATCAAATTAAATGAATTTTTCAAAATAAACATATATGTTTGAGAAAAATATTAAATTGAATAAGAGTTTTATCAAAGTAAAATAAATGATTGTTACAACATGGAACTAAGTACCATTTGTATTACATGATCCTTAAAATATTTTGGTGACATACCTTTAGTCAAATAATCAACAATTATCAACTCAGCACGCACGAGCTCAATGATCGATTTCTTTTCTTTAACACAGTCTCCTATGGCTAAATATTTAATGTCAATGTGTTTACTTTGACTTCTATTTTTATTATTTTTAGCCATAAATACCGCAACAAAGTTGTCACTATATAACTTTAATGGCCTAGTAATTGAGTCTATAACTTTAAGCCCAAATATAAAACTCTTCAACCATACACCATCTAATGTAATCTCAAACCAAGAAACAAACCTAGTCTCTATAGTGGAAGTAGCATTCAAGATCTTCTTTTTTATGCTCTAAGATACAACTTCACGACCTAGCATAAAAATATAATCATATATAGACTTTTTGGTATCAATGTAGCCAATGAGGTTTGAATTAGAGTAAAGCCTATTACCTCCAAATTACCAGTCCATCAATATGAGCATGAAATCCTTTATTCCTTAAAGGTATATAGACAAAAACTCATGCTATAGAGAGGATATATGCTTATACCTAATCAAAGTAAATGTAGACTCACTAATGAACTAACATAACATCTATTTAATAACTTCTTTTGACTTCAACAAATCTTCTAGTCAATACTTCCAAGATTCTTCTTATTAAGAACTTCCTAAACATACAATTGATTCATGAAATGAACTAAGCAATGAATCAATTACAAGAGAAATATTAAAGACTCAAAAACCGATTACATATGACTCAAAATACTCAAGCAAGTGCATATAAGACGGAAATTCAAAGACAACAAAGAAGAAAAGATGAAATATTTATCTCTTGAAGACCTCCATGCCTAGCTCAGGATACCAAATTGATGGAAATAATCTCCTCCTTCCACCAAAGAGACATCCAAGTTCGCACCTTAAGCTCTCAAGTGACCAAAATTTTTTCCCCAAGTCTCAAAAGAAGACTTGACACTAGCTCCTCTAAGGAAGGTTCCTTGTTTAGGAGACAAAGAGAAGAAAATCTCCAAAGGACACTTAAAGTCAAGCCAAAACGGGGTACAAGCAAAATTGTAAGTTCTACACACTAAGCTTGGATTTCATTCAAATGTACCAAAGAAGCTACACAAGGGGTTATATTTATAGTGTTTTCCTTCTCAACCACTTCAAGTATTTAGAGATGTGGGGCTTATTCTACTCTTATGTGAGGTGCCGAAAATGGGCTGTAGAAGTCTCACATTCTTCTTTTCTATGCTTCCCTAAGAGTTTCTATACCATATTAAACACAATGGGTTACAAACACTTGTGTTGGTGCAGCCTTGACCGTGTGAATGGGTCTTGACCGTGAGCTTGGTGTGATCACCATGGTTAAGGAAGTTTCTTTTTGAGACATCCGACTCTCGGGAGTTTTAAATATTATTTGTTTGAGGGAGGAGCGTTCTTGTAGAGTGAGGGGACTGCCAAAAAGCGTCCTCAAGTTTGAAGATTTATAAAAGCTCGCTTCGGATGTTCTTTTCAATTCTTTCTCTTTTATCGATTTCCTTTGTATGCATTAGAAATTAGGATCATGTAGATATTTAAATAAATACTGCAAATAGATGAATAAATAGGGTAAAAACATAATTTCTATATATTTGTTTTAGAATTAATCCATCATAGGGAACCCGAAATGGGCATTGTGGGGTGTTAACACTTTCCCCACACGTAACTAACTTTTTTACCCAACTCTGGTTATAATGGTCAAAGTTGGTTTTTCTAAACCAACACCTTTTCTTTTTTCCTTTTTCAATGTTTATGGTTAAAACATTGGTGGTGACTCCATAAGAACCCCTTTTTGCGAAAACCTCACTCTTAAGTATAGCTCAGTTATCGAGCATCCTAAGAGTGATGACCATATTTAAAAAATGCGAGTCACAAACTATCACGTCGCGAACGCTCGCACCTTTAGTTCCCCCCCCCCCACACTCCAGGAGGGGACAGTGGCGACAGACTCCAATAAAAAAATATGACCGTAGAGGAGTATAGGTAGAGGATGAAGTTATTAATGATGAGGGCAGGGATAAGGGAAGAACCAAGAATCACTCTTGCTAGTTCCAAAGTGGTACTAACCTAGAAATAAGGGACCGAGTGGAGTTACTACCCTACCAAGATCTTAATGAATTAGTACAATTGTGTGTTAGGGTAGAACAACAAATAAAAAGAAAAACTTTTTACATAAGAGAATACCCTAACTCTAGGAATGAGCTTAAGAGGGAGGGTTCCACCTCCAAACCCAAACTTGAAAGGCCACTTGATAGGAAAATAGAAAAAGAAGAAGAAAAAGATAACTATAGAAAATATGAAAAGGAAAAACAAAAACTTGTCTTCTCGAAGGAGAAAAGGACCAGGGATATCCAGTGTTTTTGATATCTTGGTCGGGGACATTATGCTTCTGAGTGTCCTAATAAGAAAATCATGTTAATTAAAAATCAAGAAATCACAAGTCAGGATGAGGTCCAATCTTTACCCAGTGAAGAGGAATCCTCTGACTCTGAGAAGGAGGGAAGGTGATTTATTAATGGTAAGGCGACTCTTGGATAATCAACCAATTGAATTAGACTAATTACAAAGAGAGAATTTATTCCACACTAGATGTAAAATTTTTTAAAACACTTATTTTTTATTTGAGAAGAAAATGACAATGAAAATAAAAGAATTGTTTATTTAAAAAATAATACATAAACAATTACAAATTAAACATTTAGATAAATATAAAATTATTTATATAGTTAATAATTATTTATTTACAAATGAAATTATTTTTTACATTAACAATTAAGCTATATTTTTTAATATTATATACTTTGATACATACTCATAAAATATTTTATTATAAAATTATATATATATATATATATATATTTGAAATATTTAATTTTAAATTAATAATATAATACCACATTAAAAAATATAAACTATATTAATTTAATTTTTATATTTTTCTTTTATGTTTATCCACTCTAGTCACACGAAACTCTTTTCTTATATTTTTCTTATAAATTGGTAATCATTTAATAGTAAAAATAAATTTATAAAATTATATTTTTCTTATATTTTTTAGTATTAAATAAGAAAAATATTTTTCTTTTTTCAGTATTTTTCATTCTATATTTTCCTACAAACGAATAAACTCTAATAAAAAATAGTTAAAACAAATTAACTTAAAAGTAATAATTTTTATCCATTTTACTTCATTTTTATTCAAATCTTATATTTTTATTTTTAATTTTTTATTAACTCTACTAATTTTCAATGTTCTTTTTTCTACGATTCTTTCCATATAAATCCATAAAGTAGTTTCAAATACTCTAATTTTTTATTGTAAAAATCTATTATTGAAATCTAAGCTACACTTCATCTTATAAGTATTATTTAAAAAAAATCTTACAAGTCGTATTACTCCCATACAACCTTTTAAATTAATAAAAATAAAAGAATTGTCAGAATATTATTTTAAAATCCCAACCGAACACATATCTAAAAAAATTATTAACCCGTGAGAAGAGGGATTTCAACACATGAATTTATTTTTCTTCACTGTGAGAATACAAGATATTATATCTACACATGTTCCAAAATTATTGGATCACGATCTAAATTTATTAAAGAAATTATTTTTATTTATTTTATTATTAATTATTTTTATTTTCTTGTAGTAGTTATTATTTTATAGACTATCAGTTAATTATAATCAATCCATTATTTTTTGAATAATATATAAAGGATCTAACCAAAAAATAATTTTATCTCATAACTCATTTT